TATCGGATTCCTGGAACAAGAGGAAAATGCCAATCGATAGATCACCAGTTAGACCCTGTTCGGATACACAGATTGATATGGATTTGGCGAGCGGATCAAATCAGGTTGGATCAGAAAATATTAATTTTTACCTTCTCAAACTGGACATCAGGTGAGTGATCCTATGTTACAAATTCACTCAAATGAGTTTCGTTTATTAAAACTACCGACTTTCTGGCATAAACAACCTAAACTCTGGTTTGCTTCTATTGAAAGTGAGTTTACGGTTTATCGAATTCGATCAGATGATATTAAATATAGTTCTGTCATTCGTCATCTTGATGAACAAGCCTTAGTAAACATATCTGAAGTCATTGAAAATCCACCTAAAACAGATAAATATAATTATTAAAGAAAATATTAATAAATCGCTTTACGGATTCAGAGGAAAAACGTTTGAGACAAATATTAGCTGGAATTGAACTTAATGATAAAAAGCCTTCGGAATTACTTCGAGAAATTCGTCATTTGTCTGGAGGATCTTTAGCAGATAGTGTTTTGCAAATGATTTGGCTTCAACGCTTACCACATAGAATTCAAACGACTTTAGCCGTAGTAGAGGATGTTCCTCTTGTTAAACTTGCGGAATTAGCCGATAAAATTGCTGATCGGGACGGCGGTTTGCAAGTCGCGGAAGTTTCCAATAATACAAGTAATAAATCTTCGGATTTCGCGGATTTGCTACGAAGAATCGAAGCTCTTGAAGTTTCTCGTCGTCGAGATCGTTCCAAAAGCCGGTCTAGAGAGAATAGAAGATTTAGATCGTTATCGCGTAAGAAAGACAAATCAAATAAAGATATTAAAGATACATCAATTTGTTTTTACCATAAGAAGTTTGGTGATAAGGCTAAACGATGTACTTTACCTTGTTCTATGTCCAAAACATTCTTGGCTTCACAGGAAAACTAAAAACGCCGCTTAAGACTGAGGCTGCTTACGACGGTGTTTCTAACAATCGCCTCATTATTTTCGACAGACATTCAAATTTGAATTTTCTTGTCGATACGGGCGCTGATATATCGTTGTTACCTAAAAAGGTTTTATTGAAGCCGTGGCATACTAATTTAAAACTTTTTGCCGCAAATGGTACTCAAATTAATACTTACGGTTCTAAAACTTTAATTTTGAACCTCGGTTTAAGGAGAGAATTCAAATGGAAATTTTGTCGCGGATATTCAACGTCCTATTTTAGGCGCCGATTTCCTTTGTCATTTTAATCTCCTAATTGACATTAAAAACAAGAAATTGATTGATAATGTTACCGGTCTTATGAATACTGGAAAAATTCAAGAAGTTGCACATTTGTCAATTTTTACCACATCTCCTGATTCTGTGTACCACAAATTTTTAACCGAATTTCCAGGACTCACCCGTTTTTCTCCAATTTCCTCGGTAAAAACACATGGTGTTGAACATCATATCGTTACGGAAGGTTCTCCTAAATTTTCGACTCCCAGAAGACTTACTCCTGAGAAACTTAAATGTGCCAAGGAAGAATTCAAGTCTATGATGGAGCAAGGAATTTGCAGGCCTTCAAGCAGCTCCTGGGCAGCCCCTCTACATATGGTACCTAAAAAGGAACAAAATTCTTGGAGACTGTGTGGTGATTATCGTGCACTCAATTCAGTGACTATCCCGGATCGTTATCCCTTACCTCATATTCAAGATTTTTCTTCTTCACTTTTTGGTAAGAATATCTTTTCTAAAATCGACTTAGTTAAAGCGTACTATCAAGTACCCGTCGCTAAAGAAGATATTCACAAAACAGCTGTCACTACTCCATTTGGGCTTTTTGAATTTGTCGTAATGCCTTTCGGTTTACGAAACGCAGCCCAAACTTTTCAACGGCTCATGAACTCTTTACTTAATGATTTGAGTTTTGCCTTTTGTTATCTTGATGACATTCTTATTGCTTCTAAAGATGAGAAAGAACATATTGCTCACTTACGCATTATTTTTGATCGTCTTCAACAAGCTGGAATGACAATCAATGTCGCTAAATGTCTTTTCGGTCAAAGCGAGATTTCTTTTCTTGGTTACTTAGTTTCTAACCAAGGAGTTAAACCTACATCCGAAAAAGTGAAATCAATTATTGATTATCCTAAACCTAAGACACTTCATGAATTACGCAGATTCTTAGGAATTATCAATTATTATCGTCGCTGTCTCAAGGATGCTGCAAATCATCAAGCTCTGTTAACAGAATATTTAAAGGACAGTCGCAAGAGGGATAGAAGAATTATTTCTTGGACTAAAGAAGCGGAATTAGCTTTCGAGTCATGTAAAGAAGAACTTTTACAAGTTACTACCCTTTCTCATCCTGCTCCTCATGCTCCTCTTATTTTAACTTGTGATGCTTCTGACTTTGCTGTTGGTGCATCACTTGAACAGTCTATTGACGACGATATCAAACCAATAGCATTTTTCTCAAAGAAACTAGACAAAGCTCAAAGAAATTATAGCACTTATGATAGAGAACTTCTTAGCATTTATTTGGCTATTAAACATTTCAGGCATTTTGTTGAAGGAAGACAATTGATTATCAGAACTGATCATAAACCTTTGATTTTTGCTTTCCGTCAGAAATTGGATAAAGCGTCACCAAGACAGATCAGACAATTGGACTTTATTGCTCAATTCTCTACAAATATTACCTATATTTCTGGAAAAATGAATTCAGTTGCTGATGCTCTGTCAAGAATTGAATCTATTTCAATGCCTATTATAGTTTCTTTAGAAGAACTTGCTAATTATCAGAAAGAAGATGAAGAACTTCAAGTTTTACTTTCTTCAAATTCTTCACTTCTGTTGAAGAAACTTATTCTTTCAGGATCAACCATACCTATTTATTGTGATTGCTCTTCGGAATTAATTCGTCCATATGTTCCTAAACTCTTACGCAAGAGAATTTTTGATGTTGTTCATGGACTCGCTCACCCCAGCGGCAGATTGACATCTAAACAATTACTACTGAAATTCATTTGGCCTTCTTTGAAGAAAGATGTGAAGGAATGGACTCGAACTTGTCTTCCATGTCAACGTGCGAAGATTTCAAGACACACCAAGAATTCTCCAATTAAGATTGCAATTCCTGATCAACGCTTTCAGCATGTGCATTTAGACATTGTTGGACCACTTCCTATTTGTCAAAATTACCGTTATTGTCTTACTATGATTGATCGTTTTTCCAGATGGCCTGAAGCTGTTCCTATTTCTGAGATTTCTGCTGAAACTATTTCTACAACATTTTATTCACATTGGGTAGCACGTTTTGGTTCTCCTATCAGCATTACAACAGATCAAGGTCCTCAGTTTGAAGCAGCTTTATTCAAAGCTTTAACAAACCTAATTGGATGCCAAAGGATTAGAACTTCTGCTTATCATCCTGCTTCAAATGGAATTCTGGAAAGATGGCATAGGACTTTGAAAGCAGCGATTATGTGCCACGAAACAACCAACTGGGTAGAATCTTTACCTTCAGTTCTTTTGGGATTACGTTCGTGTTTCAAAGAAGATTTAAAAGCTTCACCTGCAGAACTTCTTTATGGATCCACTCTTCGTATTCCTGGAGAATTTTCATTGAAGAAGATTTTCCTGCAGATCCTGAAATCTTTCTTGAAAAACACAGGATTCATATGAGGAATATCAGATCATCTCCTACAAGTCATCATTGCAAAAGATCACCTTTTGTTCACAAGAATCTTTTTGATTGTACTCATGTTTGGATTCGAGAAGATACTGTTAGGAAGTCACTACAACCTCCTTATTCTGGCCCTTTTCCTATTGAGAAACGTATCTCTGATCATTTATTTGCAGTTAATGTTTCAGGAAGAGTTGTCAATATTTCGACAGAACGTCTCAAGCCAGCCTTCATTCCTAGAACTTCAGATTCTACTGAACTTTCTACCAGATCTTCAGCTCCTGTTCCTGCTATTTCAACTCCTGTTCCTGCTATTTCAACTCCTGTTCCTGCTACTTCAGCTCCTGTTTCTGCTACTTCAAATCCTTCTTCTTCTTCTACTGTTGGAAAAGCTTTACGCACCTACCCACCAAAGAAGAAGAAAGTCCATTTCGCAACGAATATCGTCACTTGGGGGGAGTACTGTAGCATTCATCATCCACACCTTTCATTTACACTCTACACTTTTATTACACCTTACACTTTTCACTGCACTTTTACACTTTTTACATCTTTATACATTTGTAATAACTTCAATTCATTAATATACATAATGTTTTTAAGAAAAATCAATATTTCCATAACAACACATTCATTCATTTATTTGTTACATATTAATTCTTTTTGTTCTTTCGCTTTATACTTTCAATGAATAAACATTACTTTTTCAAAGATCTGGTGAATTTATTTATAAGTCGCTACAAGAAAGCATTTTTAGGCGGCATCTCGCGTATACCGGCACGGTAGAGGAACAAGGAGAACACGTGATTATCGGTCCTTGTCTCTCTTACGTGCGTCCGCGTGAGCGATGCAGTGGTGTATGTACGTGTACAGACATACACCACCACATAAAACCCGAAAATTGGTTTCTCGGCGTTGGCAACACTGAAATTGGAGTTTCGCGTTGTCACCGCGCGAGGTCTCCAATATCAATTCGGAGTCTGGCCGGACGACCTGTCGACCCTTAAATAATTATTCAGAAAGATTTGTAGCGCACAAAAATACGGTTTCGAAAAAATGACGGGATGTTACAGCTTATGCGCTTATGCAAGAGTGTGTGCTCCCCGCTTTAATAGCAGCTATTGAAAGGATCGTCAATAAAAATGACATGTTAGAAAAAGTTTTTACGAATTTTCGTAAAAGAACAGAATTTTGTACAAATTCAGATGGTGTGCACTTCGAAAATATTTATCATTAGCTTATATATGTGATTTTTAGCACTTTTTTCATTACTTTTTTTCAATAAAATAGACTGGTACAAACATTTTATTTATATCCATTAAAAACTGTTTTCCTTTTTTCAACACAATTTTTGTTTTCTCAATAACTGCATGTATTACAAAATGACAACTGAATAGTTTCAGTAGTTTCCTATGGGACACCCTGTGTGATGTTAATTCGATTTATGTATCATAGTAATAGTATTAACATTTTATTAAAAAAATGGAGAAGTTATGTACTTTGAAAAGGATGGTTGATATATCTGAACCAATATTGGCAGAAGATAGTACATTTTCCACGTTAGCATTATCATTAAGTGCAGTATTAGAACAATTGGATGAAAATGCTATACACCACGATTATCTTGTTACCCTACTGTTTGTTCTATTAGCAGAATCTGGATTTTCTATATCATCCATTTCTAATACTTTAAAGCGGTAATTTATATTATATGTATAAATGTGTTTTCTCAATATCTCTTAAATAATTTTATTAATATGTGTGTTGTTTGTAGAGAGCAAAATACAAGATTGGTTCGTATACCTACTGATTGGAAATTGCCAGAAACAGACACATACGAAGCACATTTCATATTGTATAATATAGAGAATATTAAATCAAAGTTTATCGCAATACCTTATGGTGATAAATTGATACTTAATATATTCCCATGTATAAAAGAGAAAAAAACTTATAGCATGACTGTGCAGACGTTAAAATATGTAAATCCCTATTCAAATAATTTATTATTGCGATATAGGAATCTTAAGGAAATATCACATAGGTATGTAAAGAATAATATTTCATCAATTTGCTATTTTATTTATTTATTCATGTAAAAATATATAACATATTGCAAAATTTGTCAGGTTTAAAAACAAACTGACTATACCCTTGCGGACAGATATATTGTCAGCTTCAGGTTTAACAAGTCCTAGTTTTCAAGGTTTGCCAACGGAGCTACGATTCAAAATCGCAGATATGCTGCATCCACTGGATATACAAAATCTGGGATTATGTTCTAAAGAATTTTATGCATTATATGTAGCTTTTACTTATTGGCATAAATCATAGAAACCATGTATATTTTTGTATAAAACTTCTCTTATGAAAAAAATCATTTTTCTTTAATTTTTTATTAGAAATACATATTTTTACATTTTGCTACTTACAGTTATCGACAAATTGTCAAATTTTGTTTCTTTTGGATCTTTAACTAAAAAAAAATAGGATTTTTTGAGATGCATTTTAGTATATATATAAAATATATAAAAATTGTGAAATGTCATGATTTTTGCAAATGTGAAACTTTTATCTTTTCATATTTATTCATATTACATGTAAAAAAAAAACATTACTTATTATAATAATTTTCATATAATTATATGTATAATTAACAATTTTAGGTAAATATATATTTTTTAATTATTTTATTTTTTTATTTTTAAATAAGTGTAGTATATATTTTTAAATAATAATATAGTAATTATTTATGGACATTCATCAGTGACAAAAGACATATTGTAAAAGGGAGAGTATTGATTAATATTTGTTTATCGATTTTTATAATTTTAAAATATTTATATAATTGCTTTATGCAGAATGAATGGTGTTCAAATATATTTCAAATTATACATTAATTTATAATATATTAATCTATAAATTTTTAAAGAAAAGAATCTTATAATTGATTTGTTGTTTCTGATATTATAATTCAATATATAAAGAATAAAAAGAGAAAAGTCAATACTAGATTATATCAATGACTTATTATATATATATATATATATATATATAACTAACAAATTGTTTCCATTATTATTAAAATAATTTTATAATTTATAGAAAATTTTATAGAAAATATGAGATAAGATGAAAATATATTCACAATATTATAAGTATGCATCTATTTTTCAATACTTTAATAATGGACAATAATTTTACAGAAAATTACTTATATTTTCACAAAATTCTTATTTTTACAATTATTTTTATCACTTATAAAAATGTAAATAGAGAAAAATAATAATACTTTTATTATCAATTAGTATTATGCGCATGTGTTTTTGTATATTTATAAACTTTAATATATGTTCTTTTAATATATTACTTTTAATATACACACATATACATATAACTGTGCATCTGTGTATATATATATATATATATATATATATATATATATATATATATATAAATTTTAGATACAAAAAATAACTTAAATATTGGAAGTACATACTTAAATTGTCTAACTAAATATCGAAATATTTATCACATTTTATTTTGCAGTATCTTTCTTACTTTTATCTTTACCATACATAGCATCCAAAAATAAACCTGAGAATACTATGAATGTACTCAACCATTGTCTAGGCAAAAGATTATTGCCAAAGATTAATATAGAGCCTAAAACGGTAAAAAATTTCCTAGTAGTGGTTATAATGGAACATGGCAACGGACCAAATTCGGCTACCGTTAGAAATATGAAATATTGTCCAAATGCACCAGCTATGGAAAACGTTATTAGATGCCATATAGTAGAAGGATATCGTTGTAGAAAGTGAATAAATTCAAAGAGCTCTCCAGAGATAACAATCACCATACCACTAAAAATAACAGACCAGAGATTCATGTTGAGCATCATATGACCCGATTTTGACTTATGTTCCGCTCTCATTCGTTCTTGCACCGCACTTGTTAATCCATCCATTGTCAGTGATAGCAGTAACAATAATTCCCCTACTGACAAATATGATTCCGACTGCTTCTTAGAGGTATTACCATCTTTGTACATAAATAATGCAACTCCAATGACGATTAAGAAGATGAATATGTACTTCCTAACTGGATATATCTGCAAAAAAAAAATACAAATATTTAAAGATAACAGAAAAAAATCTTATATACATATCAAAGAATCCTGTAATACAGGATGGTCCATATAAAGTATTTACAAATCAATAAAAATATTTGTCAAATCAAAAAATGGTTCATGAGAATATCATATATTTGAGGGACCTTTCTAACTACATAAATAAATATAGTCCTCTCTGCATCACCTAAAACGAAAGAAGACTAAAATGAAAAATACTTGAAGCTAATGTAATCTTAGAAATATTATTTAGAATTAGATAAAATTGTGTAGGAAGAATAAGCATTTAGATGAGAATGATCAACAGTTAACATTTAATTTAAAATAAAAAAAATGAAACCTTCTATTTATGGTTTTATCATTAGTTTGCACTATACTTTAAAATTTTATAATTTTTGGTAGAAGCGTTTTTCAAACAAATGTTCCAGATATAATTTACTTGTTCTCTTTCTTATACAAATATGTAACATTTTATAGATGGCTTTATTTGAAATTATGAAGTTACCTCTTGAAGATGAGGATGACTTTATAATTACAAAGTTAGAAAAATCTCTTAAATGTGTGAAATTTCCTCACAAACTTGATGTACCAATCACTTTACAGGGTATCCTGTGACTCTAGGTTGAAAATTGGTGTAAATATTTAAAAAAGGAATCAAAAGACATTAAATTAAATTTATTTATAAATACTGGGTGTTCCGCAACATAGTGTCCATATTAAAACTGTATTCTTGGTGTCATTCTAAGTCAAAAAGTTTTAATACACATATGCTCTAAATTCGATTGTTTTAAAAGTATAGCGAAAAATGTAAAAATAATTATTTACATACTTATTAACTTATAATTTTTAATTATTTACTTATTTTTTTATAATTATTTATTTCTATACTTTGATAAAGCAAGCAATTGTTTTTTGCAATGCCAGTCACAAAAGTTCGATTTTCGATTGCTGTTTAGCGTGCGGAAAGTGGCTTATTTCTCAACGATTTAATGTATGACTTTAGGGCATATGTGTATTAGGATTTTTTGACTTAGAATGACACCAAAAATACACAGTTTCAGTATGGACATCACATTGTGGTATACCTTGAATATTACAAATTCTATTCAAAATCATCTGCAGATGCAGTCTTACTTTGTGTAAATGATTTAATAGCTGCTCTATCATGTCAGAAGAATTTCTTATTTTCACATCTATTATTCTATTCATAAGTTCATCCCTTTTATCTACAATTCTATTTATAAGTTCATCCTTGTTTGTTGCAAGATTGTTCTGTTTAAACTATTGACTGTCAGAAAAAACATATAAACAATACCTGACTGACAGAAAATATTTTTCAAATATTCACATCAATAGTTGTAGTTCTGTTAAAGAAAGCATTTTTGCACACATGTTTATTAAACAATTTCAATTCCAAATGACTTTAATAGTATACCCTTAATATATAGTTGTTAGGAAGCATTTTCGCACATGTTTATTAAACAATTTTAATGCCAAATGACTTCAATAGTACACCCTTAATGTATAAGACCTCGAGTCATGGAATACCTTGTACATAAGATTTTTATCGTATATACGGACTTTTTTCCCTAATAATACGCCAAGTATCATCACGGGTATGGGCTTGCCGGCCTTGCCGATGACCTGTGTCGGATAGCTGACAAATTGCAGTGCCATATTACTGCACACCATGGCGAGTAGATATGTCAAAGCTGACACCGCGTAATACAGAGTCGACGTGGTGTCTTCGCCCTGTTTCATCACCGTGTGCAAAATGGTCTTGGCGAATGTGTAGTTCACCAGGCATTGGACGAAGACCAGTGCGAACATGTACGTAAATTTCTCCCGGTTCTCTCTGTCACCGTATTGTCCACGTGTGATTTTTTCTTGTAACATTCCGAAATAGAAATAACACACAAATATACCGCTCGCGTATATTAATAACTTAGAATGTTTGTTAGCGATGATCATTTTTTTTTCACGAACGTAGCGTCATGTAATTAGAATGTGAGTAATTGGGATCGTTTTTGATCAACGCGTTATCGTTGACCTTTTTGTTTCGAACGGAGCGAGCATGTGATGTAAATTGTACGTGGCGGGCAATGATAGGTAGGTAGGTTAGTTAGGATGTGCTTAAGGTCGCTTTTTCAGGCGATATCACAAATCACAAGGTCTGTTTTCATCGGGGTCTACAATGGCAGCAGGGTACCTATTAAGGTGGCTTTTCATATGCAGCATGTTGCAGCAGCAAATCAGTCACGTGATCACAATTTATTAGAGCATATTTCTTTATTCTCTTATTATTTCAAGGTTAAAATTACGATTTTTGCTTTTCGATTCTCATAATAATCTATTTTATTCTTAAAATCCATTATTCAACTAATATAATAATAATAATTAGAATCAACTAGTTGTATGTTCTTCTGCTTTGCTGCCTTTGCTGTTCGTTCAATTGAACTTTACCAATAACAATAAACTGCTGTGGCAGCATACTGCACATGAAATGGTATATTTTCACGGATGCTAGAAACCAGCGTCAAATTAAACTCACTAAACTTTCTCTAGATTCGGCGTCAAGAAAATATAGTGGGGAATAAAGTTCAGACCGTTTCAGCTTTTTCAGTGTGCCGCGAAATCAACAGTAATTGTAATTAACAATAAACAAAGAAGAAGAAAGAGCTGTTCTTTTTAAATATTATTCACCTGCCTCGCACGTTCTGTCATCCATGCACCATATTTCTGCCTGTAAAGCGGGGAGCACACACTCTTGCATAAGCGCATAAACATATGCATAAGAAATTTGATTGGTTGAATTTCTTATGCATACGTTTATAGACCAATCAAGATTCTCATGTTTACGCTTATGCGCCTATGCAAAAGTGTGTGCTCCCCGCTTAAGCTATTATATTCTCAATTTTATTGGCGGTTCACGACGCGCATATTTTGTCACTACTTCTCCCTCTATTAGACAAGCGACAAATTTAGTCGCGTGAGTATCGATTTCATTTTAAAATCAATGCGTGATTAGCGAGAATTTTTCACTTTTCACATTTTCACTTTAAAAAAAGTTACAGAATCGATACCGTGATCTCCGTTTGACGATGGTTTCTAGCGTCAATGAGTATGTTTATACGGCACTCTTAATCGGGTTTAATAACATCCATAGTTGTAAAACTGACCAATTACAGCCATTCTCCTGAAGAATGGAACGGCTGTGATTGGCCAGTCTTACAACTACGGATGTTATTAAACTCGATTAAGGGTGCCGTGTAATTGGGGTTATTGATTAATAGACAGATAGATTAATAATAGCCAAAGGCCTGTTTAAAGAGGAGACCGTCAATTCTGTGCGATTGTGCCCCTTACCGACACACTTTGGGTGCTTTTCAGCAAGCAACACAGGCGACACAAAGTCACACTGTATGCGACACAAGTGCTTTTCTACTATTACACAATATAACACAATCTTACTCAGCTTTTTAGTTAAGTCGCTTTGTGCTCAATTGTGTTACACTAGTGGTACACAGTGTCTATCTGTGTCTTTCTTGCTGAAAAGCACCCTTTGCCTCTGTCCAGGCTAATAAAATCTTTTAATTTTACCAAAAGACTTTGCCCCTGGTGCAAGTTCAGGCTAAAAACCTTTGATTTTACACGTATAATTGAGCTATTCAGACACTTACTTAATTTCACCTTTAAAGCGCCGTAATTAGACCCAGACGCATATAGAAACAATAATTTAAGAATATTTAGGTTGCTTTTCAGCAAAGAAGACACAGATAGACACTGTGTAACACTAGTGTAACACAATTGAGCACAAAGCGATTTAGCTAAAGAGTAAGGTTGTGTTATATTGTGTAATAGTAAAAAAGCACTTGTGTCGCACACAGTGTGACTTTGTGTCGCCTGTGTTGCTTGCTAAAAAGCACCCTTAGTCAGCTCTTGAGAAGAGTATTGTTTCGTAATGTCTGAATAGTTCAGTTGAAAGAGCAGTCGCCCGGCAAGCGAAATAAGGTCTCGGGTTCGATTTTCGATTCAGCCAACTTTTGGACCAATATTTTTCTCGCCTATTTCTTTACAGGGAGGTTAAAAGAGGAACAAGGGGAATTTTGAGATCTTAACTACAAGATATATACGAATTCCTAAGTTTCTTAATTTTCGCACTAACATCGCGTTTGGCTCTATTGGCCTATATATATATATATATATATATATCAACTGAACTATTCAGACATTACGAAACAATACTCTTCTCAAGAGCTGACTAAGGGTGCTTTTTAGCAAGCAACACAGGCGACACAAAATCACACTGTGTGCGACACAAGTGCTTTTTTACTATTATATATATATATATATATATATATATATATATTTAGGATGGTATATATATATATATATATATATATATACCATCTTAAATATATATACCATCTTAAATATATATATGTATATATATATATAATGTATTACTTTCGAGAGCGGACTAAATATTTTTAATATTAATTACTATATAAATATTTATCTTTATATACCATAAATATTACATGAAATATTTAATCTATAATGTTTTAATAATAATATGTTAAAGAAAGATTTTTATAAAAAATTTTTTAAATATTTATATAATATTTAAAAGAAATATATATTTATAAATATTTATGAATTTTTATTATAAATATTGTGTGCTGTCTGAGTTTGCACATCTTTTCTTGATTATTTAAAAAATTAGACATGATGGAGTAAAACGAGTTATGGATTTAGATTCAAAGACTCAAAATCCGTAAAAAATACCTACTCTGGTTTCAGTAACAAAACAAAAATTTTATTTTATGGTTCTGTGTAATTTATTATATTTGATAGTAATAAAAATTTCATAAAACTGGCGCGAACTGAGGAAAAATGGCGGGCCAATCAGAGGTTGCTGTCTTATGTCCAGAGAGTCTCTACTTCGCAGCAGCGTGCATTGTGCATCGCATGATCAGCAAAAGCACGCAACGAAACGAATCTGTTAAAGAAACCAAATCAGTACGAAAACACATCGTGTGCTGTGTACTTTGTATTGCTTAACCTGGTGCCAATTGCCAATCCAATTACCGAAGTAGCATTAAATCAAACGTAGTTGCGAACATGTCATAAATTTCGTTTGGTTTAATTTTATCGAATTAGTTCAAACATAAGGAAATATCGTGTAAAAATCGGCGCGTATATGTGTATGAAACGTTGGAGAGGAAAGTGATTTCTACTCAATATTCTCGCCATAATTGTCAAAACACACAGGAAAGATGGCGGAGCAGAGTGACAGGAGTCAATTACCGCCCGGTTGGGAATGCAGATACGATATTCGCAGTGGTCGTCCGTACGTATATATATTGTATATAGCATGGAATGTCATTTTTTGTTAATAAAAAAAAAAAAATTTGTATAAAATTTCTAAAATCAAAACTTTGTATCGATACGTATAACCTGACATGATAACCCTGTATTCTGTGTTTTCTAATGCAAAATACATACATACAGAGATTTCATAATCTTTTATACACATTTTTGTTTACATTTTCTAAAATTATTTAATTGAATGAAAATGGAGATAATTGTTTTAGCATATTTATTGATTCGAAAATTAATTAAATATATTTAAAAGTAGGTAATGTTCTGTCTTTATTAATATGTTAAGAGTTCAAGGAGATTTTGCTTTGATGAGTGCACTACTAATCTAAAAATAATTATCGAAAATCGATTTTGCATGGTATTTCTTAATGTAAAAGAAATAATTAAATATAGAAATATAGTTTTGATGAATTTGTATTTTTCTAGATATTTTATAAACCATTTTAATCGTACTACAACATGGGAAGATCCAAGAGTGAGATACTGGCAGTATTCTCAATATATACAATCTCAGAACTCGATGGCTTTGAGTTCAGCTACTACTACTACTACTTCTCAAGATATTCCTATGCAGGTCAGTTAACAATACAGTTGAGAATTCATGTGTTACTTGTAAGGCTGTTATTATTATTACTGTTGTTTTTTTTATAAATGTATTATACATTTTATCTGTAATAAAAAAATTTTATATTTTTTTAATAACAGTATATAAATTATTTTTTTAAGTTATTTTAAGTTCATCTATTTAAGTTTATTTATTTAAGTACTTTTATCTATACTTTATATTTCAAATATATTTATTTGGCATGGTTTCTATGAAAAAAAGAAACATCAGTAGAGAATATTGAAATTAGCCCTACTGAAACCTGCTATTGATATACTGAATTATGATGTCAAAAACAAGAAATTATTTGAATTTTATTCTAGCAAATAGTTTTATTGAATGCAACAATCATGTTCCATAATATGGAAAATTTAAAAAATTATTAAAATTAGGAAAATTAGAAAGAAATCTCTAATCCGTGACTTAATAAATCTTGATCTCAGTCATAAGCTTTATTTACAGTAAAATAAAAGTGAGAATTAAGCTTAACATGTGAATAAAAATATGTACAGAGTGTCCAGCAACTTGCAAATATAAATTGAATATTATATTCCTTAGCTTAAATGGAGAGACAGAAATTTTAATATAAAAATATCTAAATATCTAAAATTCGAGAAAATATGACATAACATTTGACAAACTGTCAAACCAATGACAAAACTGTCACAATGATTAATTTTTCTCATTTAATAGTCATTATAGTTTAAATATCAAATGAAAATTTAAATTTATATATAAATAAATAGATTTTATACTAATAAAGATTTAATAAAACATTATATTTATAAGAACATAACATTTGTTAGGTTATAAATTATTAATAATATATTCTATCTTATAAAAAAATGTTGCTTTTTAATAAGAAATTTGATTAATCAAATATAGATTTCCTGTTGATTAATTAATTGAGACAAATATGATTAGTAATATCATAATCAAAAATGTCAGTAATAGCTATGTATTCTAGTAATGCTATTAAATTAAATTTAGCTTATTAATTTAATTAATGAAAATTATTAATTTAGTTTAAAATTATGAAAGCATGACGAATTTATACATATTTTTAATCAAATTTATTTAAAAAATGATTACATAACAAATGTTCAAAATGATCATTTGTCTATGTACAAAACTAAATAAAATTTATTTAAAGTGTAAAAATCTTTTATGTGTAATTACAACCAGTAGAAAATAATTTCAACTTAATTATTTAATTGATAACTTAATTTTTAGATTTAGTTAATTTTAAACTTAGTTAACTTAATAATTTTGAATTATTTAAACAAATTTTAAATTAAAAAAAACAACATAAGTGAGAATAAAAAATAGCAAATATTGATATTTTTTAATCGAATATTACTAATCATATTTTTCTGAATTGGTTTATCAGTAGAAAATATACATTTGATAAAATTTTATTACATATTAAAAAATGATTTACACGAAAGGGTATCAGCAAGAATATATAATCTATAAATGAACAAATTTTGTATTTTTACCAATATATTTGTAATTATATATTTCTTATTAATATAAAATTTATTTTGTGCAATTGGCGCGCGAAAAGTCGCCCTTTCCGCACATGATGGGATTTTAGAAAGGGCTTCCTTTCCATGCACCGGTCACACAAAATATTGTAGCCAACATGTGTGGGTCATAAATCGGCCCTGCACTTGTTAGCTAATATACTATTATTTACATATTGATTTTAAAGTGATTATTTGATACATAATATAGTATAACAATTTTATTATAGTGAAAAATTAATTACAGTCTTAGGTTTGATCACGTTTAATTCTGCAATACTATTACTCATATAGGATTTTATTTTTAATATCTGCATACACACATACAATGTATTAATTAATCATGTTTAAGTGTAATTTGGAAGTAGAATTATCTCAATATTAAGTAGAAAAATCACAGTACAATATTGCCTTTACACAGTGTACTTATATATTTCATATTATATTGATATCTTGTTTCTTATGTGCTTAAAACGTAATGAAATCTTATGTATGCACATTGCTAGGTTTCAAAAGAAAATGCGTCATCTGATAGTATACGAAATTCATATCTAGAAAAATAATTTGTTTATATCATTTTTTATATAAAAAAATTGTGTATATATAAAGGAAAATAATAAATAATAATGATGATACAATAATTTTATAATATATATAAATATAATTATAAATAATGATAATATATTGTATAATTTTATGATATATATACAATTATAAAAGGCATTATATGATATAGTTATATACATATATATTAATTTTATATACAATATATGTATAAATACAAATACTATGTATAATGAAAATCTGTATGTGTGTAATATATTAAAAATGATAAAATATTTCAGTATTTATTGATTTGCAGAAAGAGTATATGCTTTGTAATGCTACATAGGCATTAATATTTTTTAGTTATAAAATTTAGCATAGCTATGTAAATGTATTTTTATATATTTATAGGTTACTGCATTTTATAAGTTTATTATACTTAAGGTTTAAGTGGTTAAATTAGTCCGATTTTTTTTAATTTTACATCGTTACAAGATTTTAGAAAATAAATTTTTGTATAAAAATAATAAACTTATATATTCTTTAATATTATAAAATAAAATTGTTAGTTAAGTCTATTAAATCAAATTTTTGTATTTGAATTTGTTTTTCTGTTGTTACTATTATTTTATAGAAACTTTTTATAGACAGAGATGAATAAAGTAATAAATAATCCATTTTGAAAAAATTCTAACTTCATAATGAATCTTGTAGCCTTTGTTTTTAACGTTTGGACACTTTTGCACATGTTCTATTGTTTTTTATTGGTTCTATTGGCCTAATTGACCAAAAATGGTCTAATCTAGCCGGTCATTAATTGCTTGAAATAAATTCTTTTAATCGATTAATTTTCATATACTTTTCTTCTTAAAATCAGTGCTTGAGGATTTGTTATATAGTAAAAAATATGCTTCAAACAAAAGATACTCGCAGAAACATGTTTAAAATATATTTTTTATTCACGGGCTATGTTGGAATTTTTCAACGCGCATGTGTGAAATCTTAAATACATATATGTACATAAAGAACGCTTTTTTTAATTTGATTGATTGGGTTAAATCCGTATCAGGTAACGTATTGAAGATTGAGATTGAAGATCGAAGATTGCAATTTGACCAATCAAAACAAAGACATTTTAGTCCTTTTTGTTTTGGTTAATTAAATTCCAATCTTTAATCCTCAATTTTCAATGTCTGATATGGGGTTTAGTATATTCTCTTTAGACGGTCATAAAATTAATTTAAAGTGTGTTTAATTGTAAGAGTACTCCTTACAGACTTGTAGATTAAATTTTCAATTTGTAGATTTGAATTTAGTATACAGGGTAGGGCAAGAGTTCCGAAATGGCAAAATATTTCAGAAAATATTTATTTATTATAATAAAAAAATGTTTCAAATAAAAAGAGTAGGACTTAAATAAACTATTTGATGATATTATTTGTTTGATCTTGAAAAGCCCGGTCAAGGTCAACATGAAAGTTTTAAATGGAACTTCCTATTTTTTATTAAATATTCTTATAGTCGATGTCGAGACCTTTCTAAAACATTATAAAACTAAAACATAATAAAATATTGTTTCATAAGGTACTTTTCGAGTTATAAGACTTGAAAGTTATAGTACTGCCGACATTAGCGCTACCCAATTTTCACTTAATTTATTTTTTGATCTTAATTTAAGATCGGTCTATAAATTCTGGCCCTACTGTGTCTTCACGTGCACTCCAATTGTAACTAAAAGTTGAAATCATTTCGACATCAAGTTAAATGCAATAAACCACCAGAATAGACCAGAATAGATCCGTCATTAACAATGAGTGACGACAGATTGACGCAAACAACTTTAACACGCTGTCAGTGATTAAAAAAAAAAAATTATTTCCCTTGTTCTGAAAAATACAAATTTAGTTATAAATTGTGTAACTGATTGTGAGTAAAAAAATTGTAGGATAATTTAGAAAATAGCGTTTTGCAGGTAAAATTTTATATAGAATAAATACTTACCATAGTTTATATCATCTAATAATGCTCGATTAGTTGGCCTTTTTATATACTAAATTTTGTTTTAAAATGTTATAGTTTATAAAACTTGAGCAGAATTTTTTGAGAAAAAATTTTTTATCAAGATTCAGAGTGTCAAAAATATGTAATTTAAAGGAACAACGTATCCTTTTTTAAAACAGAAAGATAAAAAATTGTAAAAACTACCGCGATTTCACGTTAAAGTGAAAACTTTAAACTTCAAAATGCGTTTTTAATTTTTAATTTACGATGATTTTTCGCCGAGTTTCAGAGATTTGAAGATATAAATTTTAGGCTAAGAAAAATATTCCTTATTTTTTTAAGTAGTGTATATCACGTATACAGGATTTAAAAGTCTAATGGTTATCTCGTAAACAATACATTTTAGAAAAGAATATTTCAGACAAAAGTTATTAGTTTAAATAGGCGTATTCAACACAGTATAATTTGGCGTTGCCAAGATCAGGGAAGTTATTTTGAATTTTTAAATGAAATTATCATATTTTTTTATATGAATCGACTTCTCGTTATATTTTGTATAAAAAGTTATAAGAGTATGATAGTTAAAAAGTGAATAGTTTACAAAATATTTTATACTTTAATTTGATATAATCTTACATAAATTACCCAGCAAACACAAATGTTACAGTAACATAACAAATGTAAATGTTACATTGTAACATAACTATTACAGCTATGTTATGTTACTGTAACATTTCTGTTTGCTGGGTATGAAATATTTCGTAAAATATTTAATTTCTGATGATTTTATCTCAATACTTTTATACAATACAAAATAATGAGAGAAATAGATGTAAGGATAACAGAGTTGTTTTTAAGAAAAAAATGTATAGCTGCTAGCTTGATATATAGCAAATT